CTGGAACAGTTGGGAGTCAGTCAGTCAGTTTTTTTTTTTTTAAGATTTTTTTTTATTTTTATTTATTTGATCATGACCTGAGCCGAAGGCAGTCACTTAACCAACTGAGCCACCCAGGTGCCCAGGAGTCAGTCAGTCTTAATGGAAAAAGGTAATCTTTAGGGAAAGTTTTGAAAAGCAAGTAGATGTTTTCTAGGTGAGACATGGAGTGGCAAGTGATACGGCAGACATTTGTAGTAATTTCATGAACCTGGTGGATTGAGAGAAGGGAACAAATGTAGGAGGTAGCATTGATAGGACTTGGTGCCAAATGTGAAGTTAACAAAGAAGAAGGAATCTCGGATGACTTCCAGACCTCAGGTTTAGATGAGTATAAACCACTAACTGATTTAGAAAATACAAACCACTAACTGAGAAAGAATCAAGAAGAGAAGAAGCTGGTTGAAGGATAGGAGGTGGTGGAGAAGATGAGCTCTGTTCTAAATATGTCAAGTTACACAAATATTTTTTAAAGATTTTATTTACTTATTTATTTGAGAGAGAGAGAGAGAGAGACAGCACATAGCAGGGGGAGGGGCAGAGGAAGAAGGAGAAGCAGGCTCCCCACTGAGTAGGGAGCCCTACATGGGGCTAGAGCCCAGAACCCCAGGATCATGACCTGAGCTGAAGGCAGACGCTTAACCGAGAGCCACCCAGGCGCCCACCAGTTACACAGATTTTTAAAGGTGTTTTAATTTAACTTGTACCAATGCTCCATTCCTTGCTGAGTCCATTTAATATACATGGAGCATTACTCACATTTTCCCAATTCATTTACTCCTCTGTTCTCTTCTATTTTCCATAGAACTCAGCTGCCCAGCACAGAGCCATGGGAATTGCACATTTGCCTCTAATTTTCTACCCAAAAAAGTCATTTATTATTTTACTAGTGACACAACCCCTTGATAACCCTTTCCACCATTAAATGTCAAATGATTACTTTGCAATGCTAGGTATTGAATCTTAATATATGTTGACTTAGTAATTACTAAGGTGTTGAGATTTTTGAGAACCATAAAAATGAAATCCTTTTTTAAAAAAGCCTTTTTAGGGGTGCGTGGGTGGCTCAGTCGGTTAAGCATCTGCCTTCAGCTCAGGTGATGATCCCCAGGTTCTGGGATCGAGTCCCGCATTGGGCTCCATGCTCAGCAGGGAGTCTGCTTCTCCCTTTCCCTCTCCCTCTCCCCCTGCTGGTGCACTCTCCCTCTCTTCCTCAAATAAATAAATAAAATTTTTTTAAAAATTAAAAAAAAAGCCTTTTGGGGGGCACCTGGGTGTCTTAGTCAATTAAGCATCCAACTCTTGATTTCAGCTCAGGTCTTGATCTCAGGGTCATGAGTTCAATCAAGCCCCATGTTGGACTCCACACTGGGCATGGAGCCTACTTAAGGAAAAAAAAAAAAAAGCAAAAGCCTTTTTAGCTCCCCACTGAAAGGAAGAAAAACTGAACTCCCTGAAGCCCTCAGACTCATTCACCAGTATTAAGTAAACTAGCTCAAAATTACTTAGCTCTAGGGTGGAAGAGTTTCACCCTGAGGCTGAAAACACAACTACTTGAAAGTACAATATTTTTCCAAAGTAGGAAATCTGGAGATATTATATGTAGTCTTCTGTAATCTTGGTGTAATATATAAACATTGATGAATGAATATTTCCAAAATTTATAGAAGTTAGAATTGTACACTATGTTGCACAGTGGTTAATTATCCAACTGGTCAATGTCAACATTTCTTTGCTTATTTAAACATTAATCCAAAGCCTGACTAGTGCTAAACTTTAAGAGAATTAATGCATTTGCACAAAAAAAATTGGATAAAAAACTTCCCACAATCTTAAAGTGTTATCAATTACTGACCTTCAATGATTCAATGAAAACAACATTATAATCATTGACTATTCTCATAAACATTAGCCATAATATTTAAAAAAAAATGCTACAACTCAGCATTCCTTATTCTAGTCAATTTTTAAGGCATTTCATCCTAAAGTATAATCATTTTTCAGATCTTCCTTAAGAAAATTACAAAAAAGAAACCTTCTTTCTAATATTTAAAAGAAAAAACGTAACATGTAGACAAGATATTTAAGATAGTGCTTGAAGGCTTTTGAAGATAAAAAAATTGCTATTTTCTACTTATGAAAGTAGAATCATATCAAAACCTCAAACTCATGTTTTAGAGGTGAATATCAAGAGAGATCTTTAATGTGAGAGGGAATTCCCAAATATATTGCTAACTGAAAACTTTTAGGGAAAGTAATAAATTGTGGTTAAATAATATTTTCACTTCTTCATTATTAAGAATGTTATTGAGTAGTCACAAGGTACATTTTGCTACAAAAGAAAGTGGTGAGGCATTCATAGCAAGATTCATTTGGGAAACAAAATAAATCTTCCCATTAAACTTAGAATACTGTATCCTAAAGGTCCCATAAACTCGGTAAATGTCAATCAATGAGAAGCCAAAATGGAAAATCAATCCTGTAGGACTTTTCGTTTGTAAAACACTTTATTTTTTAAAGTATCTTCACACCATTATCACATTTTATCTTAATAGCATCCCTACGATGGGTCATCGTTCAGAAAGAAAAGGTGGAAGTCAGTCCTGCTAATAGTTAGGCCAATACATTTTGCAACTCTATCTTGGTCAAGGTGAAAGCACACAGAAGCATTTCCTGTATGACAAAGATGGTCACTCACTTCAGACCACTAGGGCCTGAGGTCAGAGGGGAACTGCTACACAAAAGCCTATTTTACAGTTTGCTCCTATTCACCAGACAGCCAGGTAGCAGACATTCAGGAGACTCTGGCTCACCCTTCAACTAGAAGTGAATGACTAACTTTATGAAAGGAAAGAATATCCCTGTTCTCTAATAGTTTATTTCATCACTCTTTAAGTCTACTATCCTCTACCTCTGACAATGTACTTCTTCACAACCATCCCCATTCCTCTCTCCCTCATCCCTTACTCTTCTTTCTTCAACTCAAGGCAGAATCTCTCAGAACTTGAGAAAGCCCGGAACCATTTCTATTGTTTTAGGCTCCCAGCATAATAAAATATAAAGACAATCCAAAAACAGGATGTCAAGTTTATTGTTTAAAATTAGTTCTTTTAAGTCTGCTCCAATGAGGTACATCCCTACCTGAAAGGTGCTCAGGTGGCAAAGGGGGGTTGGAATCCTAGGTGGGACAGTGTGGTTTCTGGATCCCTGGAGTCACAGGAAGACGAGGGGTGCCTGAGTGCAGCAGAGTTCCCAGGCATCGGGGTGGGGAAGCCGGTTGCCATCAGCGAGCCCAGGAGTGGGCTCTCAGCTCAGGGTTGCTATATACTGTGAACTGCAGCATGGTCAGGCCACCATCCTAACAGGGGCCCAGCAAGCAGCAGAACCACAGCAAGACCCCTCCTTCCTCCCCCAGGGGCAACAACACAGGAATCTGCAGGTTTGGAGACTTGAAACAGGGTCACATGCCTGAGATAGAAATGCTCGGTCACAGGCCGGGTGAGCACAGAGTGCGGCTGGAGACCGGGGAGACAGGAGTGATTGACTGCTTTTCTCTGAGGGCACACTGGGAGTGGGGCCCCGAGCTTTCAGGTCTGGGACTGGAGATTGGGAGGCCACTGTTTTCTTTCTTTCTTTTTTTTTTTTTCATGAATGTGGCAGCAAAAATGTTTTTATTTTCATGAACAATAAAATCTGTATTTGTTTTTATTAAACAATAAAATAGATGTTTCTTTCCACAAACCTCAAATGGAAATGTGGCCTATTTCTTTCCACAAACCTCAAATGGAAATGTGGCCTATTTCTTTCCACAAACCTCAAATGGAAATGTGGCCTATTCCTCAGTTACAAATGCAGAAAGTAAACCATAGTAGGATTAGTGGGAGGCCACCATTTTCATTCTCATCCTCTAAAATCCATGGAAAGCCTTCAGGGAACAAAAGCCACATAGAGCAAACAGGAGCAGATTACTTAGCCTGGCTCCCTGGCAAGGGCGGTGCAATTCCGCTCGGTGCAGAAACACTTGAGAATCAACGCAACAAGCCCCTCCCCTAGAAGATCAGCAAAAACATCTGGCTAAGCCCAAGTTTACCGATCATAGAGAACTGCAAAACTCCAGCACTAGGGGAAAATAGTATATAGAACTCATGGGTTTTTTTCCTATGATTCTTTAGTCTTTCAATTTTAATTTTTTTTCTTTCCTTTTTCAACCAATTTCTTATTTTAGCAACTCTTTCTTTTAATCTTTTTTAATTTTAATTTTTACAGTTACATTCTATCCTTTCATTGTATTTATTTTTGTATATATATGACTTTTTCTTTCTTTACAATTTTGGGATGTAGTTTCTTCTAACAAACAGATCAAAATACACACAGAATCTAGTGTATGGCTCTGTTCTCTTCACCTGTTTGATCATATTCTGTCTTTCTTTTGTTTAAGTCTTTTTTAACTTTCATCTTTACAGTTACATTCTCTCTTTTCAATGTATTTAACTTTATTTTTGTATATATATAAGTTTTTCTTTATAATTTTGAGATGTAGTTTCTTCTAACAAACTGACCAAAATATACTCAGGGTATAGTGTATTGCTCTGTCCTATTCACCTGTTTATATTCCTTCTTTTTTTTATTTATCTTTCTTTTTTTTTCTGTCTTTAATTTTCTTTTTTAGAGTTACATTCTATCCTTTCATTGTATTTAATTTTATTTTTGTACATATAAAAGTTTCTCTTTCTTTACAATTTTGGGACCTAGTTTTCTAACAAACAGATCAAAATACACACAGGATCCAGTGTATTGCTCTGTTCTATTCACCTGACTATATTCTCTATTTTTTTCTTTTTTAATTTTTGTTTGTTTGTTTGTTTAGGGTCTCTTCTGACTTGTTTATTGTATATTTCTCTGGGATCATTGTTACCATTTTAGTATTTTGTTCACTCATTCATCTATTCTTCTCTGGACAGAATGACAAGACAGAAAAACTCACCTCAAAAAAGAGAACAAGAGGCAGTACTGACTGCCAGAGACCTAATCAGTATGGACATAAGTAAGATGTCAGAACTAGAGTTCAGAATAATGATTTTAAAGATATTAGCTGGGCTTGAAAAAAGCATAGAGGACACTACAGAATCCCTTTCTGGAGAAATAAAAGAACTAAAATCTAATCAAGTTGAAATCTCAAAAAGGCTATGAATGAGATGCAATAAAAAATGGAGGCTCTATACATTCAGTGCAATCCCTATCAAAATACCATTGACATTTTTAACAGAGCTGGAACAAATAATCCTAAAATTTGTATGGAACCAGAAAAGACCCCAAATAGCCAGAGGAATGTTGAAAAAGAAAACCAAGCTGGTGGCATCACAATTCCAGACTTCAAGCTCTATTACAAAGCTGTAATCATCAAGATAGTATGGTACTGGCACAAAAACAGACACATAGATCAATGGAACAGAATAGAAAACCTGGAAATGGACCCTCAACTCTATGGTCAACTAATCTTCGACAAAGCAGGAAAGAATATCCAATGGAAAAAAGTCTCTTCAACAAATGGTGCTGGGAAAATTGGACAGCCACGTGCAGAAGGATGAAACAGGACCATTTTCTTACACCACACACAAAAATAGACTCAAAATGGATGAAAGACCTAAATGTGAGACAGGAATCCATCAAAATCCTAGAGGAGCATACAGGCAGCAACCTCTTTGACCTCGGCTGCAGCAACTTCTTCCTAGACACATTGCCGAAGGCAAAGGAAACAAAGGCAAAAATTAACTATTGGGACTTCATCAAGATAAAAAGCTTTTGCAAAGCAATGGAAACAGTCAACAAAACCAAAAGACAACAGACAGAATGGGAGAAGATATTTGCAAATGATATATCAGATAAAGGGCTAGTATCCAAGATCTATAAAGAACTAATCAAACTCAACACCCAATCAATCAATAATCCAATCAATAAATGGGCAGGAGACATGAACAGACATTTCTGCAAAGAAGACATACACATGAAAAAATGCTCAACATCATTCATCATCAGGGAAATACAAATCAAGACCACAATGAGATACCACCTCACACCAGTCAGAATGGCTATAATTAACAAGTCAGGAAACAACAGATGTTGGCAAGGTTGTGGAGAAAGAGGAACCCTCTTACACTGTTGGTGGGAATGCAAGCTGGTGTAGCCACTCTGGAAAACAGTATGGAGGTTCCTCAAAAAGTTGAAAATAGAGCTACCCTACAACTCAGCAGTTACACTACTGGGTATTTACCCCAAAGATATAAATGTAGTGATCCAAAGGGGCACATGCACCACAATGTTTATAGCAGCAATGTCCACAATAGCCAAACTATGGAAGGAACCCAGATGTCCATCGACACATGAATGAATAAAGAAGATGTGGTACACACACACACACACACACACACACACTAGAATACTACTTAGCCAAAAAAAAAAAAAAAAGAAATCTTGCCATTTGCAATGACATGGATGGAACTAGAGGGTATTATGCTAAACAAAATAAGTCAATCAGAGAAAGACAATTATCATATGATCTCACTGATATTTGGAATTTAAGAAACAAAACAGGATCATAGGGGAAGAGAAGAAAAAATAAAATAAGATGAAATCAGAGAGGGAGACAAACCATAAGAGTCTTAACTATAGAAAATAAACTGAGGGTTACTGTAAGGGAGGGGGGTGGAGGGGAATGGGGTAACTAGGTGATGGACATTAAGGAGGGCATGCAATGCAATGAGCACTGGGTATTAATTATATAAGATGGATGAATCACTGACCTCTACCTCTGAAACTAATAATATATTATATGTTAAATAATTGAATTTAAATTAATAAAATTCTTTTGTGAAAATAAGTCTATGAAAAGATGCTCAACATTGTATGTCATTAGTGAATTGCAAATTAAAACAATAAGATACCGTTATGTACCTGTGAGACTGGCCAAAATCCCAACACTGATAACACCAAATGCTGGTGAGGATGTGGAGCAAGAGGAACTCCCATGCACTGCTAGTGGGAATGCAAAATGGTACGGCCACTTTGGAAGGCAGTTCAGCAATTTCTCACAAAACTAAACACAATTTTACCAACAATTATGTCCCTTGATTTTACCCAAACGGGTTGAAAACTTATAGTCACACAAAAACCTGTACATGTTTACAGCAGTTTTATTCATAATTGCCAACAGTTGGAAGTAACGAAAATGTCCTTCATTAGGTGAATAGATAAGTAAACTGTGATACATCTAGATAATGGATTATTCAGTGACAAAAGAAATGAGCTATCAAGCCATAAAAAGACATGGAGGATCCTTTTTTTTTTTTTTAAGATTTATTTATTTGACAGAGAGAGACACAGCGAGAAACGGAACACAAGCAGGGGAGTGGGAGAGGGAGAAGCAGGCTTCCTGTGGAACAGGGAGCACGATGTGGGACTTGATTCCAGGACCCTGGGTTCATGACCTGAGCCGAAGGCATACGCTTAACCGACTGAGCCACCCAGGTGCCCCTAACATGGAGGATTCTTAAGTGCATATTACTAAGTGAAAGAAGCTACATCTGAAAAGGCTGCATACTGTATGATTCCCACTATATGACATTCTGGAAAAGGTAAAACTAGGAACACAGCAAAATGATCAGTGGTTGCCAAGAGTTAGTGTAGAGAGATGAAGAGTTAGAGCACAGAGGATTTTTTTTTTTTTTTAAAGTAGGCTCCATGCCCAGCATGGAGCATAGCACAGGGCTTGACCTCATGACCCTGAGATCAAGACCTGAACCAAAATTAGGAGTCAGATGTTTAACTGTGCTACCCAGGTGCCCCATGGAGCACAGAGAATTTTTAGGGCAGTGAAACTATTTTGTATGATACTAAAATGACACATACATTTCACTACATGTTTATCAAAACTCATAGAGTATACAATACCAAGAGTGAACCCTAATGTAAACTATAGACTTGGGGTGATGATGACAAGTCAGCATAGGCTCATCAATTGTAACTCTGGTGCAAGATGTTGATAGTGGGGGAGGTTGTGCATGTAGAGGGTAAGAGTTATATGGGAACTCTCTACTTTAGGTTCACTTTTGCTATGAACCAAAAACTGCCCTAAAAAAACAAAGTTTGTTTCTAAAAATTAATGCTTATAGCACATAGACATAAAAATGTATGTACCACTTCACTGAGAGATAACATCAAAACTCTTAATTTGAGGCCCATGGCAGTCAGTATTGGCAATTATGAATAATGTTTTACAAAAATTAATTTATTAAAGGATATTTGTTATCTTGCAGAATTTATAGAGAAACCAGAGAAGTCAATAGTAATGATACACATCTTGAAACCATCAGAAGCAATACTCAATTACAGGAGAGACTCCACCACTGCCACAAGGTGCTTGGTCCTGAACTCACATAGACTGGATGCCAAAAACTCTGCCTCAAATGCCCTCAGAAGAATCAGATGCCTCTACCATCACTTGCCAGTCTTCCCACAGGTACCTCCTTATGTTGCTTCCTCCCCTAAACGCTACACAGATACATCTGACTGTAGCACCTAAGTCACATTTTTGCATCATAACTGCAAAAGGTCTGAAAACAAACTCTAATTCTATCATGAGAAAGTGAGACTACCAATGTGGGAAACTATCAATATGCATAGAAATCTGGAAGGTAACTCAGGTGTCAACTTATAGCAATTAAACTCAATATGGGACAGGTTGAGCCAAGGAAGGAAGGAAGGAAGGCAGGCAGGCAGGAAGGAAGGAAGGAAGGAAGGAAGGAAGGAAGGAAGGAGGGAAAGAAGGAAGGAAGGAAAAGAGAGAGAGAGAGGGAAAGAGAGAGAAAGAAAGAGAGGGAGGGAGGAAGGGAGGCAGGCAGGCAGGCTCCTATAAGTATTGAAAAATCTCCATTGGATTTGGAGATCCATAGAGTGCTGGTGGATCACCATGAATGTACCTTCATTCCATCGCTACCATAATGTATCAAAATAGTCTGGTTATGTTGGTTTCTCCCCCAGTCTATAGCTTCTGAAGGGCAGAAATGATGTCTCATTTGTCTCAGAATCCCAGCACACAGGATAGTACTTGGAACAAGGATTTCAATAAAGATTTATTGACCCTAACTCAACTGAGACCTGAAGTTCCCTTTAAAAGTCCACGCAATAAGCCAAGGGTAAAATTCCCATAATTCAGGTATTCAAGCTTCTAAACACCCTAACTCTCCAAGCTCCTCTAATCCAGAATCACTCATCTTTAGCATCCTGGGATCACAAGGTTCAATAAGAGTTCCCTCCCTCCCTTTTTAGAACTAGTGCCTTTCAAATAAATTAGTTCCCTTAATTTAACAAGGTAATAATAGTGATAATAATGCAAATAACAAACATCTGTGGAGTACTTTACATTTTTACAAAGTGTTTTAGTACTCAAAATTCCCATGTAATACTAACAAAACCCCTAAAAGTGAAATGAGTATTTCACTGTTATACAGAGATATTGCCGAACTGGTCTAAAAATTACACTTAAGGACACCTCGGTGGCTCAGTCTGTTGAGTGTCTGACTCTTGATTTTGCCTCAGGTCATGATCTCAGGGTGGTGGGGCTAAGCCCTATGTCAGGCTCCATGCTCAGTGGGAAGTGTGCTTGAGATTCTCTCTCCCTCTACTTCTGCCTCACCTCTCTCTCTCTCAAATAAATAAATCTTTAAAAAAATAATAAAAATTACACTTAAAAAAGAGGTTCCCCCTGAATTTGCCAAGGCCCTCTGGCTTCAAATCCCAAGCTCATTTCTCTCTGCCACACTAGCTGGGGTGACCCACAGAGATTTTGCTTCTGTCACTTTATACCTCCAGGCTGATGTGTGATTAGCATTTTCCTAGTTGCCGTTTATCATCCTGGCATCTGTTGCTTAGTCATCTCAAGGAATTCAATTAAAATCCAATGAATGAGTTGATTTCTTAAGCTTTTTGGGGGAAATTTTTCAAAGGCTCACACCTTGACACACTGGGGAAAGAGGAGCATTTTT